AAACAGTTGGGTACCTCCCTTCACATCAATATCACCTCCAAACTCCAGGCACTCTGCCTGCCCCTCGGCCTCTGTCTCTCAGCTCACACTGCCCTCCTCTAGCCCTGTAGGCACCGCCCTTTGGTCACTCTCTGGGATGCTCCCATCTGGGGCTCGGGGGCTTTCACCAGGCCAGATGGCCACAGTGCGGGGGGCCTTCTGGACCCCTCTCCCCGGGTCTAGGCTGGACAAATGGTCCTGGTGAGGGCCCTGGGCAGATGAGGTGAGCAGCGGGTGAGAGAGAGAGAGGCTTAGGTCTAGCCAGGGAGAGGCCCGGGGCTCTGCCCTCTGTGATGGTGACCGGTGGCAGGGCCACCTGCAGGCCTGGCCAAAGGGGAAGGTGTGCTCAGAGGGACACCAGAAACCCCCTCCCAGGTGCACCCAGACCTAGCGGGGGCCAGTTCTGCCCCCAAGACGTCCCCGGGCTCAGACGGCGGCCTGGCCTGGGACAGGGCCTCGGCTGGCGGACTTCAGGTCAGCCTCTCCGGTCAGCAGCTCCCCCTGCGCCAGGGCAGGCCCTGCGCCCCGAGGGGAGTCCTCAAAGGGGACCGAAGGGCACAGAGACGGAGAAGAGACTAGAATAACGTGGCCACAGGCCAAGGGTGGCGGGGTCCCCAGAAGCTGGGCGGCAGGAAGGACCCTCCCCAGAGCCTGCAGAGGGACAGCGCCCTGTGACCTGGGGAGTCAGCCCGGTGGCCTCCAGAAAGGGGAGTGACCACCCTTGTGCTGCGCCAGGCGGGTGCGTGGCCGAGCGCGTGGCTGTCCTCAGCCTCACAGCTGCAGGGGGAGAGCCCAGACCCGAGTCCCGGTCGGGATGTCTAGGGCAGCGCCCCTCAGCTGTCAGGGGGCTGACCCGGGCACCTCTGTCCTGGGGGGGTTCAGCCCTGGGGGGTTCAGCCCTGAGGGGGGTCAGGCAGCAGCGAGTTTTAAGGAGAAGCTAAAAGCAGGACGGGTGAGGAGTGGGAGGAAGCCCCGGGGCCTGGCTGGTAACGGGATCCAGCGGCCTGGGAGAAGCCACCGGTGGCGGGGTCCCTTCCAGCCGGAGGGTCGGAGGGACGTCGACCACAGTGTGGGAAAAGAGGGCGGAGGAAACGCAGGGCGGAAACAGCCGTTTGGCGTGACTTGGGGACGGTGACCCCTGTGCGCCCAGGTACAGCCGTGGGAAGCTGCTGGCCCGGAAGCAGCTCGGCAGTGGGGCAGGAGCAGGGCGTCGGTGGCACTGGGCCCAGCTACTGCGCCTGGACAGGACACCAGCGAGCAGTCTCCTCCCTCGCGGGGGCTCCTCTTTGCCTGGACCTGGCACACAGTAGGACCGCACTGAGCTCCGGGGCCTCAGTCCAGCGGCAGCCGGGCCTCCCTCAGCCCATCCCAGGGAGAGGCACCCTGTTCGCCCCGCGGCCCAAGCCCAAAGCCACCACCTCCGGCACCCTCCCTCCCCCACCCCAACAGCTGGTTCCCTCCAGGAACCTGGGGGCCTGGGGGCCTCCCCACCCCGCAGGCTGACCACAGCCAGCCACCCTCCAACACACAGCAGGGCCCTGCACTCAGCATGCCTGTGGCTGGGGCAGCTCCACCCTGGACAAGCTCAGCTCCCCAAGGCGACATCGCCAGTGAGCGGGAAAGCTGCCCTCCGGCCACCAGACCTCAAGGGCAGGACAGGAGGCCCGGGTAGAGCCTCGAGGGCCCGGCCATCCCCAGCAGCACATGCGTGGGGACACGTAAATGTAGACAGAAAACCAACACTAGGACCGGCTGGGCTCCGTACCTCTCACCGCTGTTTAAACACGGCTTAACTGGTTTGTTACATACGCATAGCATGCCACTTGACTTTATGACATTTTTCTAATTAAGGCACTTTCACTGTGATCACACACGTTTTACACATAAACCAGGAGCCTCCCACTGACCACGTTAGCCGTCTCCAGGCCACCACCGCCGTCCAAGTCCAGTTCTTTCCATCTTCCCAAAGTGGAACTCTGCCCCCATTAAGCAATGCCTCCCCGACTCCAGCAGCCGTGGGGTGGAATCATACAGTCCTTGGTGACTGGCCTGCTTCCCTTGGCAGAGTGTCTCAAGGTGCAGGGTTTATCCAAGTCACAGCATGTGGCAGAATTTCCTTCTTAAAGGCTAAATAATATTCCACTGTGTGGACGTACCACATTTTGTCTACCCATTGATCCCTCGATGGACATTTGAGTTGCCCCCAGCTTTTGGCCGCTTTGAGTAATGCTGCCGTGAATGTGGATATGCATATATCTGTTTAAGTTCCTGTTTTAGTTCCCAGAAGTATAATGGCTGGATCCTATGGTCATTCTACGTAATTTAATTTCAAACAATGTTTTATGTGTAATTTGTGTTTAATATATTTACTTTTATATATGATAATCATGTCTATAGTTTTATATTATGTAAGTTCTGCATGATTTAATTTTTGATGACAACCACTTTGCCAGATTCCTCACGGTTTACCCATCTGCTCTGGGTCTTCGTGCCCTTTCTGCTGTGTTCCTGCAGTACACTGCCTGCCTGCCTCCGCTCTGGTTCCCTCCTCGAGCCCTCGCAGTGACCAGACCATGTCAACTCCCTCTGCCTTGCTCACTCTTCAGGTGCCAACTCCTCCCCTGCGTCTGCCCGTTTCCAGAGCCTAGTGACCTCATTCAGCCCCAGGCCTCCTTCCTGTTCTTCACACTGCCTTCTGCCCCAGGACATTTGCACAAGCCCTTCCCTGGGCCTGAACGGCTTCCCCGTCTTCTCCTGGTAGCTCTCTGTCTATCATTTCAGTCTTCCTCACCTCTAGGCAAGTATCAGGGGCTCCCCTAGTTCCTGTTCAGTGCCACAGAGTGATAAAGTGCAGGATCATGGGGGCTTCTGATGGGGAATCAGCCCCAGAGGACAGCAGGAGTCGTAACCCACGTGGACTCTGCCCTCTCGCCAGCACCAGAGGCTGGTACACCAGGACCCAGCCTCCAGGACCCGCCTCCCTGCCAGCCCCTGCCTGGGCAGCCACCCAGACTCGACCACTGACTGCCTTGCAGGCTGCCAGATTGTCAACGCTCATGTGACAGTGGGGACAGCTGACATTCACCCAGTGTGCAGCTCAAAGCCCATCACAGCATCTGCCCGGAGGCTGAGAGGCAACTGCAGGGTCTCACTTCACAGAGCACATGACTAATCCATTCCCCAACTGCCCGGCGGCGGCCTGCTTGTGCAGAACCGCGTGAACCCTGCCCCAGGCCCGGCTCTTGGACGTTCTAAACAGTGTGAGGCAGAGGAGGCTCCTGGCCTTGGAGCCCGCAGACACTCTGCCCACGGCTCCTGGGCCCCAGCTCCAGTGCACAGGGCTGCGCAGGCTCAGTGGCCTGGAGTCCCGGGCTGCTGGCTCTGGTGACAGGACCTGACGTGACCTGAGGTGACCTGGCAGCAGCACCACTGGCCCTCCCAGGACAGTGACCTTAGACCTGCGAGGAACCAGGGAGCGCTGGATGGTGACGACCCCCACACGGCAGGGGGCAGGGACACCCTTCTCTCCACGGCCACCACTTTCTTATTGACCAGTTTCATCTGGACACCGTCCCTCGACGCCTGGTGCGACCCTGGTCCCCAAGACACAGCTTTGGAACCGCCTCAAGCCCCCAGTATCCTGGCCACCACCTGGGGCTGGAGTGCAGAGGCAGGGGACATCGTGCTCCAGAGAGTGGAGACACCGCCTCTGACCCTCCTGGGCCCCCGAGGGGCTGAGAGGAGTGGCCAGGCTGGTCCTGACCCCGCCTGAGGTGCACAGCTCGTCCCCTGGCTGTGCCAGCCCGCAGTCACCTCACGGCGGCTTCCAGGACACTTGGACACATGCCTGCCCCGAGGGACAAGGGACGAAGTACAGGCTGTTCCCGGGCCTGCAGTGTCCTGGCCTCCCCAGCACTTTTCCCAAGCAGGCACCCTGCTCTGTGGGTCTGGGGCTGGAGGCAGCTGCCACCCTGCGGTGTGGGGACCAGGGCTGAGTCACCAGCCTGCCCGAGTCCACGTCAGCAGGAACAGCAGGGACGGAGCTGGGGAGAAAGCACTGTTCAAAGTCACCACAGTGGACGTCCCAGGGAGCGCCCCTCCCTGCAGCCACAGACGGAGAACCCCTGGCTACTGGCTGCCAGGACCCAGCAGGTGGCGGGCGAGAGGGCAGAGGAGTGGCCGGAGCAGAACCCTCCCCCCCCCACCCCTGACAGGGTCCAGGCCACCTGCACCACAGCCCCCAGCCCGGCCTCCTAAAGGCTCGTCACCCGCCCTCGAACTCTTCCCGAGACGGGGAGCTCAGCACCCATCGACGCCTCCCTCTTTCTTTGGACTGTTTAGAAACACACGGAGGCTGGGGTGCGGCTCAGAGGTCGGGCACCGCCCAGCGCCCACCCTGCGCTCCCCCAGCAATGCACAGCCACACGCATAAAAACTGAAACGAGATAAAGACGGGGCCGGGACATGGCTCAGGTGGTACAGTGCTTGGCTCGCAGGCACGGGCCC